TTATTCTACGAAAAGTGTCGGATTGATGAACAATGCTTCGAATGTCATGTCTGTTGTCTCAGTAGGCCGGCGAACTAGAGCCAAGATAATCGCTCCACTTCGACATTCCGAAATCGGAAGTGTCATTTCCGAAAGTGACGCACCTCGCGAACTCGCATCGCCTCGCCACTACACATATCACAGTCCACCATCTCGATCCAAAATGTCAACCGCGACACTTCTAGAGGGGTTTCCTAGTGACGCTCCCTCGGCTCCATCCAGGAAGCTCCAATACGCCGACGTACGCGCCCACCCACTCCCGTGTTGACGCGACTTGGCTGAACCAACACGTCGATACATCCAGGTCGCCGTAACCGCAACTGCCAAAGAGTTCGCCGGCATCTACCGGGGCAAACAATACCATGAGCCAGACTTCGATGCCGTGCTCGATCGCTCACTAGCCGCCGGAGTAGAGAAAGTCATGCTGACAGGCATGTACGCATCCGACGCGTCTTTCAATCTCGACATAGCGCGAAAACGACCCGAGCAATGCAGAGTCACGATCGGCGTACATCCATACCATGCTGTCGAAGCAGATGAAGGCGGCGAAGAATACTACAAGGGCCTGTCTGACAGCATCACGACGACCATTGACGAAGAGCCCCACCTCCTAGCCGCTTTCGGAGAGCTCGGCCTCGACTACGACAAGCTGGCGGAAGCTCCCAAAGACGTTCAGATACGCGTGTTCAAGCGCCAGCTCGATATGGTTGTGAGCGCGGGATGGAAACTACCCCTCTTTCTCCACTGTCGCGCCGCGTTTGAAGACTTCATTGCTATACTCGGACCCTACATGGACCGGCTGCCTTTACGATCTGGCCTAGTCCACTCTTTCGTCGGTACCACAGCGCAGATGCACACTTTGACCGGCATGGGCCTACATGTTAGTGTCAACAACTTCGCTTTCCGAGATCGCGATAGCCTGGATATGATCAAGCATGTGCCGCTGGATAAGCTGCAGATGGAAACGGATGCCCCGTGGGGCGATATTCAAGCTTCTAGTGAAGTAGCAAAAGCGTATCTGAAGAACGCGACGAAGTGGTCTTGGGGGAGCAAGAAAAAGGATAAGTTCAGTCTGGGCGATATGGTGAAGGAGAGGAATGAGAGTTGCAATGTGGAGAAGGTGGCGTTGGTTGTTGCGGGCATTAAGGGTGTTGGTGTTGAGGAGGTTGCGGAGAGTGCGTGGAAGAATAGTGTGGATATGTTCTTTACACGTTAGGCAAAGTGTGTTCTTTACTCCCATTCTCACGTCTCGACGGCATTGAATGAATGTTTTCGATGAAATGCGATGGTAGGAACTTAAGATGATGAAGCCTTGACATTCCCGCCTAACTATGAATCCTCTACTTCGTGCCATTTGTGCCATTTGTACCGTTCCCATTCGTCGCCGACCCATTCGTCAGTCCTCCATTCGTCCTAACCCCATTCGACTTCGTCCCATTTACCGCATTCTTCTTCGCCCTCGGTACCTCAACAAGCACCTTATACGTCTTCCCAGCCATAACATTCTTGACAACGCATCCCTCCACCTCCTCCCCATCAACCACAACCTTGACATCCTGAACATCCCCCCTCTTAATCTTCACATCAAACACCGCACCCCTAAACTCCCTCCGCACCTTCATCTCCTCCCACTCACTCGGCATCTTCGGCGCAATCTTCAGACCCTCCCTCACCCCGCTCAACCCACACAGCCCTTCAATGAAGCACCTATACACCCAACTCACAGTCCCAGTGTTAAACAACTGACTCGAGCGACCAGCCGTGCGGTCAAGATGCTTAATCCCATACCCGCCACGATAGTAGTTAGGAATGAAAATAGGGAGTTGGCCCCTACGAACCAAATCCTCTTCATCAGGACCGGGGATCATAGCGCGGAGCGTAGCATACGCGCGGTCCACTTCATCGATGCCGTAAAGGGCCCATGCGTAAAAGGCAGCGGCGTGGTTGTACACGGAGCCGTTCTCGCCTTGGCCGGGATATTTCTGCGTCACGCGACCGACGTCTTCGCGCATGGCGGTGAAGGGCGGGCCGAACATAACGACGCCGTAGGGTGTTGTGAGTTGCTCGTCGACCTGGGGCAGGATCTTTGAGATTTGCTCTGAGGATGCTGCGCCGCCGAGGATGGACCAGGCTTGTGGGTTCAGCCAGATGCGACCTTCTTTGTCGTCTTTGATGCCGAACGTGACGTTGTCGTCTGTGATACCGCGGGCAAACCAGTCGCCGTCCCAGAGGTGCTCGTTGGCTGATTCGTTGACTTGTTCAGCGCCGGTGCGATATTTCTTCGCGACGTCGGGTTTGTCGGCGTCTTCGCAGATTTGCGCCCATAGGTTCACGGCGTAGGCGGTTGCGACGGTTAGCCAGCCTGATACACCGACGCCTTTGGGACCGACCATGTTCATTGGGTCGCACCAGTCACCCTGCGCGATGTAGGAGAGTCCGCGGTCGTCTCGCGCGTTTGAGGAGAGCAGCCAGTCCATGGCGCGGCTGAAGCGCTCGAAGACTGTGAATGTGTCTCCATACATGCTGGTTACCTTTTCATCTAAGAGTGCGTAGTCGCCGGTTTCGCTGAGGTAGATTTCGAGGGCGATGGGGAGCCAGACGCAGTGGTCGGTGTGAGGGATTTGGTTGATGTACTTCAGCACCGCTCCCTTGGCTAGAAGGATACCATCTGGCATGGAGCCGTTCTTCTCCTGCTGACCAACCGCTGTCGTGATGGCTTTGCGCGCTACTTCTGGCTTGATGAAGCTCATGCCCATGTTATCTTGGAGGTAGTTTCGCGTTTGCGGATCGGTCGTAAGTCTGTTTACGTCGCCGTGGTAGTACAATTGTCGGGGTAGCCAGTTGTTGACCAGGTTGTCGAGATCTTTGTCTGGAGTCTCGAGACGTACGCAACCGCTGCCACGCTGGATGTAGTCTTCGTAGTCTTTGGCGGCTTTCGCGAACGCCATCTTGTTGAGGTATTTCTTGCGCATGTCGAGAATTTCAGCTTCGTCGTATGCGGGACCGAATAGGAATCTGTACTCTTTGCTCTCGTTCTCGCCTAAATCGGCCCAATATTGAACAACTGCGGTCGGGGTTTCGTAACGGGCATCGCTGTTCGAAAGCTGGGACTCTTTCAGTGCCGATGGCGCTTGCAGGCCTCCTTCGCCTTCGAAAGCTTCTTGCTTCGCTTCCCATGAGACTGGCGTGGTTTCGCAGAGGAAGTAGGTCTTGTCTTTCAGATACTTCGTCTTCGGGTAATCCTCCGCTTTTTGATACGGAGTCTTACAGCTCCCAACCACGCCCCCGACATTCATATTCCACTCCGCCTCTTGATTCATCCATGACATGTAGCCCAGTGGGAAGTAAGGGTAGATACTCAAGTTGCGCTTGCGACCTGAGATGTTGGTCACTTTTATGCTCCAGAGTTCAGCCACATCGTCGGTGGGTAGTAAGAAGGTCATCTCGACACGAATGCCAGATTTCTCCACAAGCCATTTGATGTCGCTTTTGCCTACATCGAAGGTGAAGCGATCCAACTTTGCCCTTACCGGCTCATACGGCGCCGAGAAGATCTCGCCGTTCTCCTCATCCTTGATGTATACGAACCGGCCAGGGTGGTGAGCATAGTAGTTTTGCTCCGGTTGCATAAAGGTCTTCGCTTCGAGGTTGGGCGCGTAGGCATATTTCGCGGGCTCGGGTTGCATGTATTGTGCAGTTGCAAAACCACGACATGTGACCTGAATCATCATACGTTGGTTCCAAAGGAATGCACCCGCTTTGGGCATCTCCGTGGGGCTTGTGAGCTCATAGCGCTCGCCATTTTGGGTAGGTTGTATCATGGTGGGAATGTGAACAAGGATAGTACCTGTGATCTCCGCGGGAAACTTTTATACCACGACGGGATGGTTGGTTATACAGGGACGTGACGGCCGACATGGCTTAGGAGGCGTAGCTTACTGTGTTTAGTGACACTGCACAAGTCAATTGGAACGCGGGACCAATGCGGAATCAAAACGCGTGACCAGGCACAAAGTCTTAGCGTTTCTGCTGATTTAGTCTACAGCGGGAGTGTCAAACTCGATGCTCGTGGACAAGATTGCTAGCAAGGCAAACGAAGGTCGTCGATACTCCTATGAGAAGAAGCAGCAGGAGCGCAAGCTTAGGATGACCTTGAAAACGAAAGTCCGACCAGCGTGCAAATCGTAAAAAGGACGACGAGGGATTTTCGCACGTCAGTCATCTGTTCCTCCATGGTTCATATAAGGTACACAGCACAATAAGCCGCACCGCGTGGGGCTAAGCGAATGGCGGTGTGGGGTTCAGCCTGAAAGGGTACAACGTAAGCGCGGAGACGGTTGCCCGGACCGCAACGCCTTTAGCCAGCCGTGAGGCAATACTGCGAGTCCCAACATGTCCAAAACTCAACGATCTTCGCATCGTCAATATGCGCACACGATCCGGATTGCGCAATCCGAGCAACCGATTAGTGTGGGACAGCGGCGAAGATAACGGAAAGTGTATGGTGGCGTCTGCGCCGATGTGCCGAAAGCAGTGTGTCAGCTGCTCGCAAGATTGTGTGATCACGGGTGACAAGGAAGGGTATACCGTGCCGGCGCCGATATCCGTTGTATCCACAGCCACTGACATTAATTGTGACCAAGACTCGCTACCGGTTCCCCCATCCCGGGTATGCCCAGTGCTGCAGCCCTGCAGAAGGTGTTGGGTATCGTGAAGTGTCAATTTGTTCTTGGCTTTCATTGGTACGTGTGGAATATTGGGTGATGCAGTCAGACTGGCGGAAAAAGCAAAGAGTGGGAAGGGTGGGGTGAATTACCATGACCAGCGATCAAAACACTATCGCAACACTGAACATAAGACCAATCCTCCATGCCAGCCAGGACGATCTCACAGCCGAGGTATCGTTTGTCCACTGGCGTAGGACTCTACTCAGCGGTCCACAACACCGCACCATTTTCACCCTAACTCTCTTTAGCGGCTTCGTGTTGTAAAGCTGCTTTGCCCGATGCCTTCGTGATTTTGACATACTTTCCCGTCTCGGGGAATGCTTTCTTTGTAACAATTGGGATCGGGTCTTTGTCCCACCACGATGGGAGAGCTGGAACACTTGTCCGCCAGAACCGCGCGGTTCCATCGCCGTCGACACTGAGGTATACATCCTGTTCTTCCTTGTCTCGAAACATGCCGCATAGACTGCCCGCAACGTAGCTAGCCATCGTGCCAGCAGGTCGCCAAAACAGCTCTTTCGCGTTGCTTTCGGTGTCGTAAATCAGGGTTGATCCTTCGTCTGACTCAATACCCAGTAGTCGACCTTCGTTCATCCATAGAACAGCATGGATCTCAGACATACTCAGTCGTTCTTTACCCTCGATCTTGAAATGCTGAAGTACCTTGCCATTGGGACCATCCAGCGGGTTCCAGACATATGCTTCTTTACCAGCGCAAAGCGCAATCTCCGACCGCGCTGGATGCCAGTCAAAGCACCGGCACCAGCGGGAAAATTTCTCTGGCATAACTGCTACCTTTCGCCCGTCCAAGACATCGTGAACCTGCACCACTGAGCCACTCTTAGTACTCCAGACGATGAGCTTTGAGTCTGGCCTATAGATTGGTAAGCTAAGTTAGCATATGCCTTATGTGTAATATGTACTGGAGTAGTGCTTACGAGAATGCGCCGGCCCAACTTTGACCACCTGATTTGTCTGTAGCCCAAATGAGAACCCCAGTCGAGACGGAATACATGCGTAGCGACCCATCCCAAGACACGGTGGCAACGCACTCCATGTCCGGGCTCATAGCCGACCACATGATGGCATCCGTGTGTCCAGTAAGGCGATGCATTTCTTTACCTGCTTCGACATCATAGATAACGACGAGCGGCAAGTCTTCTGCTGGGCGCATGCCGCTTTGGGTCGAATGGTTGTTCGAACGGTACAGCATCAGTCTGCCGTCCTTGCTGAAGCGTTTGGACCCGAAGCCGCCCAGTTCCGCGTTGTCAATGATGGTGTTGTGGCGCCTGCTATGGTCGGCGGCTACATGACTGAGCGCTTTCAAGAACTCTGTATAGAGCGAGGAGCCATCAATGAACTCCCTGGTCCATTCGTGGTTTGCTGCAAGTTCGGGCGCGATTGCATCGATAGCTTTTGTAGCCCAGACGGAGGGATCGATCGGCTCTTCTTTGTCGAGTGTGCGTCCGTTTTGGTCAAGGTCCCAAAGGATAAGCTGGCCGGTTGTACGTTCGCAACGCTGAGTCTCATCGACGACGGAGCTCAGCAGGGTGTAGCCAGGTCTCGGAGTCCCTGTACCGGAGGTTTGCTCGATCTCTGAGTGGCTTTCCCCATTGGCAACAGAAGGTCGAAACTCCACCGATCCACCTCCTTCGAGGATCTCGCACAGCTGTCGGGTCTGAATATTGTACACCAAGATTCGCCCCAAGTTACTGCTGATGGCCAGCAACTTCTTGTCAGAGCTCACAGCGGTATCGTAACTTCGGTATGTAATCTCGGATTGTTGTGGCAGATCGGCGCTGAAGTTGATAACATCGCGCGTTTGCGACCACTCCTTTGGGTGACCTGAGGCATATTGAGCGGGGATGCCAGCGCGTTCAAAATCCTTCGCCGGTTTGAAAGGGAAGGCATACTCCTCCTGGAAGGTTTCGCGCGTATAGCATTGCATATTGACGGTGAAAGTCGACGGACGAAGTAGTGCGTGTCGATGTTCTCTTGTTGAAGATGGCTGCCTAGCCGTGCGAGGCGGGCATAGATCGGCAGATGACGCGAAGGTGCGCGGAAACCAATCATGGCTGAGAACTAACGATTTTAGGAACGAATCTGGTATTACGCATAAATGTGGTGTAGCAACCACATATTAGGCAACCAGATGAAGACCTGCAGAACCGGCAACCACGGCACGTTCCCAAGGAAGAAAGAAGGAAATGTATGAGCTGAAACGAAACGTCAATCCCACCTATGCCGTGCGCCCATCGATGCTCAACTGCTCCGAGGACCAGGAACAAAGAGGATGCAGCAGCAGGGTAAAGCCGCCAGATAGGCTCACTGCCTCAACATCACCGACGAGTTGTCACCGCAGGGCGGATCAGACCCATCGGGACGCATCAGCATTACTCTCGGGCGTTGCCTTTGTTCAGCAGCCATTCATCTGGAGATGGAGGGAGAGCCCCGGCTACTGAACCCACAAACGCAGTCCGAGGACCGCGAATGCGAAACGCCCGTTGACGTCAAGTTATTCAGAATGAATGGGAGGTAGACTGGACAGACGATGCCTGTGAAGCAGCGCGCCGGTTCGCGAATAGGTTCTGTAGATGCTGTCCAGCAATCGTGACGCGATGTCAATAGTCTTAGCTAGGTCCGTCGCGTCGAGACGCGTCCGTCACGCGCGATTGCGACAGCAGAGTTACATTAGTATCAAGGGTGAGTGAGTGCATTGAGTATCGTAGCGGCGAGCGAATGCGACACAATATACGGTCATTGTTGATTGCGTTTGCGGTTGTGCTGAAGGGCTCGCGATGTAAGGTGACAAGGTTGGTCGCAGCATGAGAGACGCCCCCGGTTGGGGAAAGGCTTGGCGATCAGCATGGCCACTAGGCTCCTTTAGACATAGCGCCCATCCACTTCCAAGGTTCGATACAGACCAGCTGCCCTCACATGGGCATCAGACAAGACGACTATCCCGAAAATATTATACATAGTATGCATTCAACAGATCCTGTAGATTCGCCGGCTCCTTCAACCCCTCGTCCCAGCACCAACACCACCTCCTACGCTCCTTCCTCCTCACTATCCGTAGACCGTTCACTATCCTCATCCCACAACTCCCGATCCACCTCCCCATGATGCCCCGCATAAGTCGGATACCGATGCCCCAAAAACTTCCTCCTCTTACACCTCGGACAATCAGCACAAGGATCATCGTCCTCGTCATCCGATACCAAAGTGTGATCCTGAATCCGATAATACTTGCCATCTTCAGGATCGTAAACACGCTTGCCTTCCGCCGCCTTTTTTTCTTCTGCTTCCTTTATATCACGGCCAAAGTTGAGAATGCATTGGGCGACGTGTGAGAATAGGAACTTTTCCGGGGGCCAGTTCTTGTAGAGGTCGAGGGGATCGTAGTGGGTTCCGCTTCCGATGGAGAGGGTGAAGTCTTGATTTTCTTTTGCAAGGCGTGCGAGGCAGACGTCGCCGCCGCGAGTTGCGATGTCAGCAGATGCTCTTGGGTCTCTGTCGAAGATACCGAGCGCGGTTTGGGGTTCTTCCTGGACTTCGAAGATGACTTTTTGGATCGCGTCGTGTGCTTTTCGCAAAGGAGATGCAAAGGCTTTGTCGTCTTTTGCTATGCAGCCCCAGTGCTCCTCGTCGGCGGCGGCGCCTTCCAGGATATAGATACCCATCCGCGGATCTTGGCTCCATTTGTTGTCCCAGGAGGGGTCTATAAAGAGGGAGCGTTCGAGGTGGTGCCAAACTTTTGCGCATTGGTCTTGCAGAGCTTGCCAGCTGAAGTAGAGGTCCATGGCATCGCCTTCAAGCCAGTAAATAAGGTCGCGGAGGAGGGCGGTAGGGCCGTTGTCGTTTGCGGAGTGCTCTTCAATGTATGGGCGCCAGCGTTGGCTTGCCAATGTCCACCATACATTCTCGCGCGATCTGTTGAACTTTTTGGCTAGGCGAGCCAGCTCTGTTTCCGATCGAAGGGTGTTGTTGAGTTGTCTGACTTTATCTGTGTTTGGGTATCGAACGTTAGTGTCTTGCTGATAAGCTGCTCACGTGAAGTGTGTACGTACCGTCAACAGCTGCGTCGGTAGTTGCCCATCCAAAACTTCGCTCCAGGAAGATCGGAGCCAGGATACTGGGTTCTTGTAACCAACGGCCGTCCCTTAGCTTCCGCATTTCCTTCAGCGTTTTGGAGGTCTTCTTGCCTCGTGGCTCACGGGCTGCATCAGAGGCAGTCCGCCCTACCATTAGATAGACCTTGCGAAGGGACTCGCCGAGGGTCTGGGGGGCACCACCGAAGAAAAGCCTCGCTTCGTCTTGCTGGTGGATGAGATACTCCATATCCGGCCATACAGGGCTTTCAGGATGCAATAGCTTGGTGGCAACGTATAAGTGTGTCATCATGCAAATCTGACCCAACGCGCGCTCTAGCTGATAACCTGATGTGTTGAGTTGCAAATAAGCGTCGTACATCAAGAGTCCACATCGGATCGGATTGGGCTTCAGGGTTTCGCATGGGTCATCCGCGACTGCTTTGGTATAGGTAAGGTCCGTGGCCATGTCTTTTCGAATATCCGCTGCATGTCCTTCAGTCGGGAAGGGTTGTATCCAGCTACGCTCCAGCGCCTCTTTCATGGCCACCTCCCGATCTACGCGTACATTTAGCTCATCGAACGGATCGTGCAGATGGTCTTTAGTTAGAATATCTTGTATGTCGAGCAGTATTTGTATTCCGAACTACCCGTATATCAGTATGGTATGCGCCTTGTTTCTTCATCAGTACTTACAGTAGTCCAAATAGGGATCTGGCGATGTTTGAACATATGCGCCATACCGCGAGATACTTCGTCCATGGCTATTGTCTCGTCATGGCGCGAAGTAGTGTGTCGGAACATCCGGGCCAGTTCAAGCGTACGGTAGGTATCTTTGTGAACGCCACCGACTGGATTGAAAGCAGATTTAGCAACGATGGGAATATCCGTTTTAGGCTTCTTCGAAATCCTAATCGCCTCCAGGTAGTATTTTAGGCCGGCGTAAACTGGCCACATACACCAGTAAACTTGTGAGCACGCATGAGAGCCAGGCATCATAAGGCCACTGGGAAACAGGAAGTCCATAAAATCGGATGGGTCGATGATGTCCGGATGCTGACTGATCAACAAAAGAGCTGGTAGTACTGCGAAGTATTAATGGCTGTGAGCTAAATGACGAGACGTTCAGTCGATGACTTACCCCATACGGGATGATTCTTCTGAGGGTACTTCTTTGGGCGCACAAGCGTTAGATCAAATTCAGACTCAGCGTGCCGCACCAAGTCGATAGCTGTGTTCGCGATGACAGAAGCGTTCACCAAGTCGACTTTACCGTCCTTGTATGAAAACCAGACTTCTTGAACAATGTCGCGGAGCTCATGTATATTGGTAATGAACGACTGGATAGCAAAGAAGAACTCGGATTCGATTTCCGACTCGTCTTGCTGGATTTCAACAGGGTTCACAGGAGGTAGCGATTCCATCGAGTCATCTGGTCTGGAGGCAGGCTCCTCCCCAAGCTCATCCTCAGGCTCAGCCTCTTCAGCAGCGTTTTCAGGGTCCACCGAGAGACTGGAGAAAGTATTCTTCATCTCTCGCAGGGTGTCAACGTCGGACTTTTGACTTGGCTCCTTCCTTTGAGCACGAGACACAGACTCTTTAACCAGCGGCTGAAGGATATCAGCAGCATTTCTAAGAATTTCGACGAAGTGAGCATGGGTCTGATTGCTCTCGTCTAGGACCGTGTCGCTATGCGATTGTTTGAACCAAGTTGCCGCCTTTTCTCGAGCCTGGATGGCACGATCGAACAGTTTGCTGAGCGCTCCAGGGACCTCGACCTTGGGGACTTTCTTCGCAATGGCTTCTGCCATGGGCACAAACTCTCCAACATTGATGCGATAGGTATCCGCAGGGGTATTCGCGGAGGCAGCAGCAGCTTTTTGGGCTTCTTTCCTCGCCTTGCCCTTGAGTCGTTTAGCTGGCTGCGGAGTTGACTGTGGAGGGGCTAGACAGCTACTGCGCTGGTAGCCCACTTTTTCGGCGGTTGCTGCTAGCCATCCCGCGATGTATTCTGGATATGTTAATCGAGGAAGGTCCAATTAGGCGGTCGACCAACCTGTGTCCTTCTTGTATTGCCTGTAATTCGACGAAAAGAATGAAGCCATGGTGTGACAGATGGAAATAGCCACCAATCGATTATGGGTTGATACCTGATCTAGGCTGATGGAACAGTGTATTGGGCTAGAGAGATGAGGACCTGGCGGTTTGACAAGCTATGCAGAAACTACTGAAGAGATATCGGTGGATGAGTCGCAGAGCTCATGCGCCGCATTCCACCACAACAAAGTCAGCGCGATGGAGATTGTTTGCCTGGGGTTGATGCAGATGCAGATGCAGATGCAAACACCTGGAAGTCGCATTTTCGCCATTGTCACGGATGCGCAGGGCTTCCAGGTTCCCCGCCAGCTCAGACCATCGTGAAGAGCCAATGGGAAGGTGGCGCGAGATCCACTCGGACGCTTTCCGAGGGGATTGCCACTCTTGTGAGGGTGTTATCGAAGCAACACTGTAACGTGACATTTTGCACGTCTGGCAGAGCCTTTATCGAAGATGATCGTGGGGACTGGATGTGACGTGCTAGAAAGATAGCGCGGATGTGGCGTTATTGGAGATGCAGGAGGTTGTGGTGTTGGTGTTGTGAGAGGGGGGTGAGAGCCATGACGTGCCGGACGCGAGAAGAGCTCCCCGCGCACTTTGAGCTCAGCGCATCGGCGAAGCTTCGCAACCACAATGGCTGACATGGCATCGCGCATCGCGTCAGTAAGGAGTTTGTTACCTGATCTCGAATCAGCGCTGCATTCATTTACTTCGTCTCCCGCCAAGTTCCGCGTCGTACGGACAGTCAACGACACGCCAACACAGCCCAAGACACTATACATCCTCGACTCTTCCTTCAACCCGCCGTCAATTGCCCACCTTACCCTCGCGACATCGGCCCTGAAGCAGTCGACGCCCCTAGAGAAGAGCCCGTACCGGCTGTTACTGCTGTTCAGCACCCACAATGCAGACAAGGCACCGAGTCCGGCAAGCTTCGTGCAGCGCATCGCCCTCATGACCGTGTTTGCCGAGGACCTGTCGCGAAGCTTGAAGAGCGCGTCACCTTCGATGAATGATGACGTCTCCAACGTGTCGATAGACATTGGCCTAACCAAGGAACCATACTACAGTGACAAGTCGGTTGCTATAGCCGAGACCACACCACCGTTCTACGCGTCGCGGCCCATCCACATCCACCTCGTCGGCTACGACACCTTGATCCGCTTTTGCAACCCCAAATACTACCCCAAGTACGACCCACCGCTTTCGGCCCTCAAGCCCTTCTTCGATGCTGGCCACAAGCTGCGCGTGACCCAGCGACCGACGGACCCGAGCGACGAGTCGTCCAATGAATTCGGTACAACGGAGGAGCAGGAGAAATATCTGCAGAACCTGAAAGATGGCAACCAGGAGAAGGCTGGCTTCGAGCCTGCCTGGGGCAACAACATCGATATGGTGCAAGCCGAGGAAGGCGTTGGTATAAGCTCTACCAGAGTGAGAAAGGCAGCAAATGCGGGACACTGGGACACAGTGGGCAAGTTGTGTACTGAAGGCGTCGCCGCTTGGATCAAAGACCAGGGCCTATACAGCGAGGATGCTAGCGGCAAAAAGATGATGGGCTGAAATACAACCACGTGCATGGCATGTGCAACAGTGATGCATATCCGAGTCTCTCAGACGCAACACCAGAGGGCATGCACATCGCGACAAAACGCCACTTCGGCTGCGTCAGATCTGTTTCGTATGTTTGGATAGTCACTGCATTGGGAAGTCGCCATGAACGGCATATGACACGCTCCTTCCACACCATATGAGGCCACAACATAGGTGCAGCCGCGAGTGCCCAACCCATGCAGCATCTCACGCCACTGTGTCTGCTCCTCGTCATCAGATCCGCTTTCTCATACGTTACTATGTCTCCTGCAACCATTGGCACTTCCATAAGCTCATGTTGGATCGGAAAGCTGTCCTGTTTCCATCCCTCTTTCCCAGCTTCCGACTGTGGGCAAGCACTCCACGTGCACTGACGCAGCCATCAACAAACCAGCAACTTTCCATGTGCAGCCACCCACTCATCCTTCCCTCACCACCTTGCCATCATGGCGACCAAGCTGTGCTGTACGGCCGAGCAGGACGATCGTTCAGATTCGCCCGAGCTACCCAACGCCCGCGTCAGTCAGCCTACACCGGTGAACAGGCCACTCCTAGCCAAAGATGCTAGCTCGCCCAATTCACGGTTCACGAGTGCCCGTTCGGAAGACCTCCATGAGCTGCATGAGATCTTCCACAATGCTCGCGACTCCAACGAAGACCGAGCTATGCCAATGCGGACGCTTCGTACACGCTTCAGCCGCCCTTCGATGCATAGCATCCGCAGTCTACACAAGATGACGAGTATGCGTTCACTGATCAGACGCAAGTTTTCGAAAGAGCTTCCTAAGAAAGCTCCGACCGTTTCATCACCGCATTTGCAGCCGAGACCAAGGAACATTACTCCAGCTGCCGGCACTGTCGTCAAGCAGCTGAAAGACGGAACGAATCAGCAGCTTCAGATTACCAAAGATGACCTACGGAAGGATCTACTCAGCGACAAGAAGCCTGATGAGGGCGGTTATGATTCAGATGCTGAGGCACTTGACGAAATTGCAAACAACATTGGCAAGAAGTCACCTATCAAGCGTGCAAGTATCCACAGCATCGATTGGACTACCACTACCGGAAGGTTAGATGTTGCGAGCTCGTTGTCACGTCGTACTAATAATGGCCAGCAAAACAACACCAGACTCGTCGAAGAGAGACCGTATTAGCGGCGAGCTCAATGATGACCTCCCTCCCTACAGCATCGATAAACCACACGCCGGTCCTTTCTCCCACCGGTTCAGCCAAGTGTTCAGCACGCCCAATCTGCGATCGGATACGCCTGGTGGAAAGGATAACAGGGTCAGACGATCGCATTCGGCTACATCCATGGGCTTGCCGAAACCTTCTCCCCTTTCGCCGTTACGACTACCAAGCCTTACCGATCACGACTCAGCTGGAATACCGTGGGCTGAGGTGATGCACAAGAGCCTTCGTCTTTCGCAGTTTCCTGTGCCTCCACGCCACATCAGCCCACAAGCATCCGTTACAACCTTCAAAAACGACGGCCACAAGCGACACCAGAAACGAAGCAGCTCCGCTTCGGTATCGTCGCACCGAGCTCTTGGACCGACTGCTTCTCCTTGTGGTCGCCTCATTGAGATCCGCGTTCAACAGCCAACATCCACTGCAACCCCAAGGCCGTCTACATCTATCAGAGGCACTCTCCGTGGAGATTCACCGCGAAAGGCACGAGGAGGGGCACACAACGGCGAGGACGATGACGATGATGACAACCCACGTCGGTCTGTCCATCTTTACAGCATGCGCATCTCACATCATCTACGCTCCGGGTCTCTTCTCTCATGGGACCAACTTGCCGATGCACCAGAGCTCCCAACTCCGCCTCGCGCATTCCGTGAACGCACTGTCTCAGACCAGAGTCGAACTTCCCCACGAAGTAAGCAACTAGCCCGCCATGATCGGCAAACATCGAGCTCGGGCTTTGCCAGCTCAAAGGTTCCGAGTAGATGGGGTAAGGTATTGCCGAACGATCTTGACACCCGACCTGATGTTGCGTCTTCCATCTACTCGAGTCGACCTCAAAGCCCACCTGATAGTTTTGGAGGATCAGTGACGACTCTACCGCGCACTGATACTGAGAATCGCCCGGTCAGCATTTCCTCTGCTGATATACGACGGCCTCGACGTTCTGCTTCCTTTCCTACAGACAACGAAGACACACCAAGACCAGCTAAACGACATGGTCTTACCAACCTCGCAACTGTCACTGGCCATCCGATCGAGCCTTCGCTTCTTGCACCGCCCGCGCCGCTAGCACGCAAGAACAGTGTTGCTGATACCAAGACCTCCAAATTTCGGGAAGAGTTCAGCCCCTCTCCACCCAAGAAGAAGATGACACAGTCGGCATCCATCATCAAGTTCTTGAATCCGAAGCGCCTAAGTCTGCGCAGCCAGAGTGAAGCCAATCTACAATCTGAAGCTTCCGCCTCCTCGACTGTCGCGCTTGCCGCTGTCGATGGTCCATCTGATACGCTGGAACTCCCTGTTAATCATGGACGTCGTCAGTCACGGTCATTGATAAGTATGCAGGCTGAACAAGATGCACTTGGGAAGAACAAAGGCGCCAACCATGTATGGGATCGCGCTTTGCAAGCGCATCAAGACGAGAAAGCATCTCTCTATCTTCCCAAGAACAGGGACCTTGCTGTCCATGCGAGCCCATTCCGCGAGCGTAGCGGCAGCGTTTCCGTCAGACGCATCAGTGTCGAAGGCCTAGATCCAGCTAGTCGAGCTGACGATGGGTCTAGCACACGGGTATCGACATTGGATCCCCATGCCGAAACACCTGGTGAAGAGCGCTCCGAGGGGCTGTTCAAAATGGTGTCTCGTCGCAGTGCTATGGTAGGGCGTGATGATGTTAGCGTTGGACAAGAAGTGGCAAATGCATTTGAGCGGCAGGGCGACAGCACGGATGTCGTGGGGGCCTGGGGTCGCTACCCTTCGCACACGCGCCATGACCGTACCGCCTCTGCCGGAAAGGCTGACAACGTTCAGCCTCGCGACTTTGCACTAGAGGCAGCGATCAAGTTTGCTTCGGCAACGGATGACGAGGACCTCATCGATCCCACAGCGAGAAGACCGTCTACCCCACTGCTGCCTGGCGAGAAAAAGAAAAAGAAGAAAGTTGGCAGTGGTCGTGTAGCGAAGAGCAACTCGATGACGTTCGGCAAGACCCTCATGAAGAACTACACCAAAATGTTCAGGAGTCAGAGCACAGAATTTCGCAGGCATGGTAGAGGACACCGCAGTTCCATCGCATCTGGCGGCATTCTTGAGCATCCTGAGCTCGAGCTCCTGCCTGATGTGTGGGCGGGTGAAGTTCACAGAGACGTTGACACATATATCCCAGGTGATGAGCAGTCCGTGCTGAGACAAGAAACCTTGAAGAAGACGACTAAATCCAGGAGCAATCTACGAGCGGAGGATTCCATGGCAACACTCCGTCCACGGCGCAATTCTTCTGCGCCCAATCTCAACGAGATGTCGTTCGGCGATGGCGCAGCTGATGCGCAGCACGCAAACGATCGAGCACGTGTCTGGTCTACCTACTACGAGAACTGCGTCGATGCATACCCTCGTCTGAGTATCGACACGAACCGAGTCCTTCAGGACTTTGGTCGTCCGAATCGGCACTCATTCGATAGCCGGCAGGTGTCCGTGCACTCGCGCACTTTGCCTACTCATCTGCGCAAACACACGCGCAACGCTAGTCAGATGAGTCAGATGAGCAGTGGGAGCCGTGCCAGGAGCTTCGGCTCGCTGGGTCAAGATGACAGCGCTTTCGAGGAGCGGAGCTTGGTCAGCGTTAGACGAAGCACCATGGATCTGATTTCCAAGTTCAAACAGCAGGAGGCTACGGAGCATGAAAGGATCTTGTCCTTCAGCAGGATGGACAGTGGAAAAGCGCGGGAGAGTGTGGCGGCTCAGTGAGGTGGGATAAATTCGCGTCACGTCGTAATGTCTAATATTTGCTCGTTGAGTCTGCCAGTGCGACGAGTGTATCGTTAGTGTCAGCATAGGTCAGTCGGTAGCATCTACTCGTCATACTTGGTTCTTTTCTCGTTGTTTGTCATCGTCCTTCGAGCTGATTGTGCAATGCTCGAATTTCCATTGGCCGCGTATTTGCTCACCCAAGGCATGCACTCACGGGTATTAGAGCCGCGACCCACATCCACTTCTGCAGCCAGTGGCAATGCTTCGATATCCAAAACATCTATCAATTCACAACAACACAGTGGCTCGTGCAGCGAGGACCTTGGGCTAGTGATTTGTTCCCACGTTTGACGTGGGAAATATGTGCGGTGGGCTTTCGGGGTACTTGTCCGAGCACACTGCGCGCTTTTCTACTGGGGAGTGCGAACTCTGGATACAGTCATTACATTGAGTCAAGGCCGCTGTACATTCTCATACTTTTTTGTTCTTAAGCCTGGCTATATCCCGCCGTTTGTCTATTTTCAGAGAGCTACCCATCCCACACTGACTAAAGCACTAAGTCAAATACACACGCTCGCTCGACTACCACCGACTCTCAAATATCACGGACCAGCTCGACCGCTACATACGATCAACCAACTCACATTCGCGCTGTCATCACACACTCAGTGGACTATATACGGTCAAACCACGTACAATCACGCCGTCATCACACACTCAACTGACTACATATCGGCTCAACTACTACACACGATCAGGCAATACATACAGTTACCTACTACACCCACCCACCGGTACTACAGACGCGCTTGCACACCACACCCAGGCTCACACATCACACTCGCGGTTAAGTAGCCGATTTCAAAATATACGCCAGACTCCTACACACTATGTCTTTCCAATCCCTAGCCACGACCCCTGCAGTGCAGGCCATGAACGACAACCTGTTGAGGAATCTGTGGTCTTATCGCGAGGTGCAGGATGGAGGGGTGGATGGAGGGGTTGATCAAGGAGAAGAGACGGAGAGTGCACATGAGGAAGATGAAGATGTGGAGATGGAAGAGGAAGAAGAGGTGCAAGAAGAAGTTATTTCTTCACCACCACCACCACCACCAGAAGTAGAAGTGGCAGTGCAAGTAGAAGTTGCAGCAAAGGAGAAGAAATCACCTAAATTACATATCCCAATGAGGATTTGGAATCAGGTTGTGCCTAGAGGTAAGGCTGATGCACAAGTGGTGCAAAAAGTCCAAGAAGTTCAAGATCCCAAGGTGGATTCTCCGAAGCGCAAACGCGTTTCTCTTGTCTTGAATCACGAGGTAGAGGTAGAGGCAAGTGAACGACAGGCGCGAGAGCAGGAAGCAGAAGAGCGCGTAGAAGAAAGAGGCCGAAGGAAGCGCACAAAGACATTGAAAGCCTCTCAAAACGAAGAGATTTCACGGGAGAAGACGAGCGGAGCTTCAAGGTCACGTGGGCATGCGGCTTCAGCTTCGACGTCTAGACCCGCTTCCCGCGCCACTGCAGCTACCGCACCACGTTCACGTGGAAGCGAGAACGCGCCACTGTCTTCCTCCGCCCTCGCGCTGGAAACCGCCGCCCGCACGCTGGAAAAACGCGCCGTTGCCTCCTCCTACCTCTCCTCATCCACGGAAGCATCACCGCCAACAACGCCACCACCCAACGAAGGCCCCCGCGCAGCATGGCACCGCCTCTTCCCGCACCATCCCCCGCTCTCAGACTACTACCACCTCGGCGAATGGCGCGAATTAATGGTTTGGAAAGAAGCCAAAGGATATATTAAACGGGCCGCAGATGACCCCTGGGAGAAGCCGGTGTTTAGGAAACCGGGATGGAATAAGAGGGATGAGGAACATGAGGAACTGTGGCAGGGGTGTGAGAGGAGGATGGTGAGGGAGAGGGGATGGACGTATGAGGGGAGGGTGGCGGGGGATGTGGATATGGTTAGGGCGGCTGAGAGGGGTTGGGGTGTAGGGGGGTGGGAGGGGTGAGCGTTTGGAAGGGGGAAGGAGCTATAGACTAAGTACGCTGACTATAATTACAATGCCGACAACAGATGTACACCATAATACTATCATGAACCACGACGGCTCATCCGTTACTTCATGTCTGCCCGGTATCGTGTTTTCGACTCTTTGTCTCCATCGGGTGAACCACCATGTATGCTCGTTTCTAGCATAAGTCACCCGACCTCTTCGACTCATCTTGCTGTCACTACCCATCCTATTCTTCTCTATCTCCTCTTCTACCTCACCATCACTGCTATCGGCCTCCCAATCATCACTCCGTTCGTCGTTGAAACACCAAGCCTCTATCACACTTCCCGGTTGAATTCGAGCATCCCAATCCCCACTGCCAACCGGCAAGTCTTCGTTCACGTCCCAGAGCGTGTGAATGATGATACCATCTTCCCCTAGCTGATATAACAGTGCGCTAACATGTTCCCATCTTGCGAATGTACGGTAGTCCAGTCTTTTGGTGGCTGGGCCATCTTCGAAACGAAAAATAAGGGCGATTGGGGTCGGTGGTATCGATGCCGCGACGCGTGACAGCTGTTCATTGTCTTGACTTAGCAGATCAAGGCCGACACCAGAGTCGACCCGAGAAGGTGCCGTTGTGAAATCGTTTGGTCTGCCGTCTTCATTTTCCCATGAAATGCTGAAAAGAGGATATAGTAGCCAGTGGTAGATCCAGTCGAAATAAATGTAGAACCCTGATTTGCGCCCCGAGGCCGAGCCGTGTGTCTCATTCTCGGGAGTGATATTTGAGTATGCTGTTCGATTGGCTCTTGGCAATTTGCATCTTTCTTTCGGTCGGCGCATATTACATGCGCAATTCCGATCGCATGATCATCGACGGAAGTAGCAGTACATATTTCTTCGTATCCTCCACCATAAGGCTTCCCAGATCTGCTATCCGTAGAGCAACTTTGGTCGAGGCCCATTGAACGACGGCATGTTATGAACAAAGAGTCCCATTCGCTATCTCTATAGTTCCGGCTGCTGCTCGCACAAGTACCCAAAGGCACATGGGCGCTAGATACCCGTACGTATACTTCCAATCTATCAATACCAAAGGTGTTGGAGATGTTACACCAAACCCACATTATCCATAACCGCCCCGCCTGAACAAAGGATGACTTCGTCACACTCTCACGGAACACGCTTGCCGTGTCACACCCGCTGCGGCGGGCGAGGAAGGGGAAAGGCGGCCGACGACGGCAACGTTCTAGCCTCGAACCTCCTTGTATTCTCAACCAGAAGATATCCCACATGCTGTCATAGGTGTCGTAGAGTAAAGTAGATGATGAAGAGCACATGGATGCATGATATCCGGTGCAACGTCCGTCACTACTATTGCGTTGTGGGATCTGCTCCGGCATCGACTCCATTCATCTATTAGGAATCTAGTGCAACGTCACGAAAGCAACGTATTATCTCTCTGTCTTATCTTAGATGCATGGCTGCGTCTGGTTAGAATCTACGTTAAACTCGTCAGGCCTTTTTATGTTCTAATCTTCCGATTCGCGATGCGAGGACCTCTGGGACGGTCGACTTGGACATTGGGATAAAGCATAGGATTGGTTATTGCTGTTAAGTTTGATACTATTGAATAAGGTGTCAGATCAATCATCTAGCTACATCGCTTCGTCTTCATCTTCGTCTAAAAACGACCGTGACCGTTGAGCACGTCAACACGAAGTCGTGCTACTATGTGAGACCAAACATCGAGGATATCTATCATCCAAAACGCCAATCGCTATCCCTACTTCATCAAAAAGAAAAAGAAACTCGTACAACCGAAAACCACTATAATCATCTCACTCCTTCTCTTTCCCCTTTCCATTCCCCAGCGGACTCATCCCCGCCCCACTCCCCAACCTCTTACTCCTAACACTCACCTCCCTCGCCAAACTGCTCTGACTAGCCTTCCCTCTAACCTTCAAACTCTTAATAGAATTCGACGGACTAGGCCTCGGACTCATCCTCGGACTCCCCCCTCTACTCCCACTTCCACTCATCTGTTCAAACCTGCCCGCCAAATCCTTAACCCTCGTCGGCGACTCCTTCCCATTCCCATTCCCATTATCATCCCCAGCATCCCTCGGAGGAACATCACTCAATATACTCGCGCCATCGATATCCGCGTTAACGACTCTGAGTTTACTTTTAGGCACGGTAAACATGACTTGTACAACGCGACGCTCGACTGCGGCTTCGACGTCCCAGTCTGCTTCGCTGGCGGGGGTACAGGGACGTTCTCTGTCATCTCCTCTGTCGTGTGTCGGCGGCACGCCTAGTTGGTCTGGGGAGATGGGTGTACGCGGGGTAGGCAACCTCTCCTCACTGTTGATGGTAACGAGGAGATTGCTACCGCGTTCGCGCCACTCTTGACGCGCGCGTTCACGCTCAAGTATGGCGATATCCTCAGGCGCGCCCCAGTCATCGCCCGCGGTACGGCGCCACGCCGGGTCTTGTTCTTCTTCCAGCCAGTCCTGTTTGCCGCGGCGGTTGCGCCAGAAGCTTGCGTCTGAGGCGGCGCGTTGGGGCGTCGAATTTGTAGTCGCTGGAGCAGGCAGGGATTTCCTGTTGATGGAGCGGGGAAAAGGGTCGACGGGGGAGGTGGGGTCGTCTCTGTAGGGCTCGTGGTATGTGGGTGCTGTTGTGAGGGAGCGCGTGCGTTCGGCGCTTGAGACGGAGCGTGTTAGTACTCTGCGGACGCTGCCTAGCCAGCTCATTCTGCGCTCTCTGGTTGCGGGACGAGGGGCCGATGATAGGTCTAGTGCGAAGGATGTTGCTGGTGTGGCTGTGGCTGCGCGACTGTTGCTGCGGTCTGAGTCGCGGTGTGTGGTTGAACCGGATGAGCTGGTGTCGGGTCTTGATCGCTCTGGGTTTCCCCCGAGAAGTACCTCGCCTTCTGCTTGTAGACGAGAAAACGATGATTGTGCGGTGCGGAAGGAGTCGACATCCTGCTCTCCTTGCAGGCTACTAAATGACTGTGTTCGCGGGTCTTCTGGTGAGAGTCGGCCAGGCTTGTCATGTGTGGGACTTGTATCAGGCGTTTTGAATGGGTTGGCACGCATGGCCGTGTTCAACATAGGACCCGAACGCATAGATGCACTGCGCCCAACGCCGCCGTTAGATGAAGTCCATGACAGCGTACTCCTTTCGCTGAGGTTTGAGCTTGTACGTTCCGAAGTAGACTTGTCAGGCGATAGTCTTCCCGCTGAATTGGTATTAACCTCATAGCTCTGGTGCTGAGGCGACGGGGATGCCGAATGCAGAGTATTCCTGTTACGTCCAGGGGACTCCGTGAATGGATCCAAAACAGGAGCGTTATCAAGTATCGCTGACCCAGATTTTCGTCGTGTCTCTGTCATCTCCTGATGCCTGCCCGGTGTATTATTGTCGTGCGCTGACTCCTCATCGGGCTCCTCCTCCAACTCATCAATAGGATGTATGCTTCCTGGACCTCGGGGCCTGCCCATGGCGTACTGAGGTCTACCGCTCAAGTTGCGTCGCAGTCCACGCGTCGGACTTGGGATCTCGACCAGTAGTCCAGTTCTTTCCACATCGCCCCGGTTGGTGGCCTTCCATCCTTGTCCACCCTGTGTACCGGCTGGGAAGTAGTAAGGCCCGTTCTGATCGGTAATATAGTCCAGAGCATCCGAGTTTCCGCCGCGGCCATCAAAGCTTTGAGGGTAGTCTTCGGCATTGTATCTGTGAGTAGTGTAGGAGATCTCTTGCAGTTGCTTTTCACGGAACTCCCTTCGCTTCTTCATACGCCTTGCATACCACATGTAGAGCGCGAACACTCCACATATCGCAGCCAAACCAATACCAACACCGACACCCAAGCCAGCCTTTTGTCCAGTCGTAGACAACAGCCCGCTACTGGCAGACTCTGAGGGCGACTCTTTGGCCGGAGGAGTATAATCCGAGATCCAGGTATTCGAGGTAACATTGAGGAAGTAGGTCTGTGTATTTGCTGCTGGCGCGGCGTCTCTTCGCTGTGTGCCGGATGATGAAATAGAATAGCCTCCGGTAATCATCAGTACACCCCCAGGTAGCATGGCCGCTCCATGGCCATAGAGACCACCGTCATTCGGCAGTCCGGTTCCAGTAGTAGATGGAACTACCCACTGCCAGTCACCAGCACCACCATAACCATCTGCAACGCTGAGTAAAGCGAGCTGGGGGTCTGCCGGTGTGTTGATGTCGCCCACCCAACCTCCGACTACGATGATCTGCTGGCCATCCGGACTCAGCACAGCAGTATGACCGGAACGAGGATCGATCGAGGTGACGTCTGCTCGAATAGCTAGGTCTGTACGGGAGGTGTCAGGTTGATCGACGCCGATAAAGGTCCAGCCCTGTTCCGGAAGGGAGAAGAGCGCAATTTGCGACATGTTGATGAAGGCAGCACTGGTATGGCCTCCGATGAGGACGAAGTTTTGCTGTTGTATCTGCGTGCCATCGCTTCTATCGGAGTACGTAGGCGAAAGACCAGTGATGGTGAAACCAGCTTCGGGTATAGGCGGTCCACGGCTGGATGAAACGTCTATGTCGTAGTTGAGTGGCTTGCTCGTGTCCTCCGATGGTTGTAGGGTGACCATGAAGTTCGAATAGTTGGCCGCAGATTGCCAGTCGCTCGTGGTATCGTTTTGGTCAGGACACATGCCACCGAAGAAGTATGCGCCGGTATTCGCAGCGTTTCCTCCGACGATAGACGAGAAGGTCATGCCACCGCTGAGGTAGTTCGCGCCCATGATGGACGTATGCGAACTGTCGACCACCGAAACATCCTGCTTGCTCCAACTGCCCTTCACAACATTCTCTGAGGTATCTGGTACAAAACTCCACAACTCTCCACCACTCGCACCCAGAGTGCAGTCGCCAGTGTACACGGTCAGGTTGCCGTCGTGGTCGAGAACCGGGGTGAAGGCGCGCGGGGCATTGTCGTCGAGGAAGGGCAGCGTAGCGTACAGTGT